TGTTACTTCCCAGGAGCCCCCTCACACTGGAATTAGGCTTGAACATCCCTGGAGATAAGTCATCCTTAGAAGTATAGTCATTCACTAATTTCTTGCCCAAGCAGAACAATTCATTGAACTGGAGTGAGCTTCTCCATTGCCTTGCCAAGAGGAAATTCAAATATTGAAGGAAGAAAGAGAAAACAGTGAGCATACCTTCTCCATGCCTTCCTTAGGATTTCAATATGAATGATTCCAAGCCCCTCACCATGACTCTACTCCATGAACAGCTTGCAAATTGCCAAACCTTCCTGGATCATTGAGCAAATAAACATTATTACATTTGTCAGGTTTGCATAATTAGGTGTAGCTATTTACAAGGGTTTCTACAAATTGAACAAAAAAGGAGGCATGTTAATATACAGGTGGTCCTCAACTTACTAATGAGGTGTGTCCTAAAGATTTATAAGTCAATGATTTGGAACTTGGAATGCTTTCTTCCATAGAAACTGCTATATATGCGGTGGTCAGGTTTCTAGCTAGTCCACAAAGGCTGATTTAACCCACATGGAACAGTTATATTAGAATTCTGGTGAGGGTCCTTGGTCCTGAGAACAAAATGACAAGTGTGCTTTCTTCTTGTTTTTTAAGTCTAAGGGAAATTCAAAGAAAATGTTTAAAAGAAGTGGAATCTAACTGACATATTCACCACTGTACTTATTTTTACTCTTCTCCCATATCCCAGGGATCCATTGCTATTGGGTTCACCCAAGCACATACCACTGTAACCTTCTGTTCTTTAGAACCACCAACTTCCTCATTTCTTCCTGTCCTAATCCAAATGAAGCTTCCAAGTTCTCCTGAACAGTTAGTTTAGTTCACCGTCATCAAGATATTGGTGATTAATCACTTTTTACACTCCAAAAGACATATCTATGATTAAAAGAGGTGGCTTGTCAGTCTTAAATTGACTTCAGTTGGTAAAATTTAGGGACAGTAAGCAAATAAAGTGAAAATCAGGTTTGAAAAATGGTGACTATTTGGAGACATGATGTGTGAGCTACTGGGCCAACAGCAGAGCGCTTGCCTAATCAGTTCACCAAAGCTGTGACTCCTTTCCAAGCAGGTTTTCTTCCTCCATGTCTGACCCCACGGGGCTGCCCAAAGATTTTAGTTTTTTTCCTCCAAAGGCTCCCATGATGGTGTCAGCAGCTCAGAGCCATTCACAGGTTTTGTGGGGCTTTGTAAGTTGAGTCAATCCCAATAATAGTTGGCTTATAAATTCACAGAAAGTTGGAAACATTCTGGAATAGCTGATATTTCTGGATAACATTAACATAGGACATATAATGAGAGGTGTCTGAGAGCTCATGGATTTAGGCCAATCCCTCTGAAATTTGTCAAGGGTGCTCGTTTGGGGGATTTTTGTGATTTGCACAGGCCACCAAGGCCATTGTGATCAATTAACATGCTGATTAAAGCACAAGTACTAATGAGGCCAAAATCAGAGGTTGAATCCCCTCTTGGGCCAGCAGCTTCAATGTTTCATATAAACACAGTCCACAGAAGCTGGCTCTCTGTCAAGGTGGTCCAGATGAATGAGTTTGTAAATGGCCTAAGCTACATCCATCTGCATGCCAGGAAAGTACTACCAGCCACAGAGCCAATGATGGTGACTCAGTTACAGCATCTCCTGTAGTAAACTCCAATGTATTCTTCTTTTAAAAAATATAGTTATAGATAGACAGCATGCCTTTATTTGTGTAATTTTTTATGCAGTGCTAAGAATTGAACTCATGCTAGGCAAGCACTCTGCCACTGAACTACAGCCCCGACCTTCCAATACATTCTTAGGAATGGATGCGTTCTTATACAGTATCTTCAATGCCTACACCATCCTGACAAAAGGAAAATCCTCTAAGAGCTTCCAAACTCTTCCATCACACACACACACACACACACACACACACACACACACAGACTGTGTGTCTGTGACTGAAGGTGTCCCTGTGTTTTTCAACCCACAGGAAATAATGTTTCTAGAAGTTGGATGGTCGTGTGTCTCAGCTACTTATCTGCTTATGTTGGTCAACAGGAAAGAACAAAGCCAGATCCCAGGTGGCAGGGTGGCACAGAGTGGTGCCAGAAGCCTTTCTTCCTTTCTGTATACCTGTGATTGTTGCAGAAATGAAGATGTAAAATGAAGTCACAGAGAGTTGATTAAGTCCACAGAGGCTAGTGAGAGAATAGGAAATGTGTGAATGCCTTTGGTAGTTGCTGCTAGTATTGTGATTATTCTGGACCATGATAGAGAACAAAGGAGTAGGAGGTATGAAGATGTCTTGATATTTACTTTAGAATCCTATGATATGTGGATCAAGGATATGTAGAGGAAGAAATGGACTTTAGGGTCAAAGTTTCCATGGAAGAGAGAATAAGCTACAAAGATAAATAAGAGAGTAAATACTGAAAGGAACATCAGAGATGAATCTGCTGAAAGAGAAATTAGAAAAACTACCCCATTCACAATAGCCTGAAAAAAAAAACTGGGAATCAGTCTAACAAAAGAGGTGAAAGACCTCTACAATGAAAACTACAGAACACTAAAGAAAGAAATTGAAGAAAACCTCAGAAGATGAAAAGATCTCTCATGTTCCTAGATAGGCAGAATTAATATTGTCAAAATGGCCATACTACTAAAAGTGTTATACAGATTTATGCAATTCCTATTAAAATCCCAATGACATTCTTCATAGGAATAGAAAAAGCAATCATGAAGTTTATTTGGAAAAATAATAGACCCAGAATAGCTAAAGCAATCCTCAGCAAGAAAAGTGAAGCAAGAGACATCACAATACCAGATCTTAAACTATATTACAGAGCTATAGTAACAAAAATGGCATGGTATTGGCACCAAAATAGACTTGCAGACCAATGGTACAGAATAGAGGACACAAAGACAAACTCACATAAATCCAGTTATCTCATACTAGACAAGGGTGCCAAAAACATTCACTGGAGAAAAGATAGCCTATTCAACAAATGGTGCTGGCAAAACTGGAAATCCATATGTACCAAATTAAAATTAAACCCTTATCTCTCTCCCTGCACAAAAAACAACTCAAAGTGAATCAAAGACTTAGGCACTAGAAGAGAGACCCTGTGCCTCATAGAAGAAAAAATAGTCCCAAATCTTCACCACATTGGCCTAGGATCTGACTTCCCTAACAAGACTCCTAAAGTGCAAGAAGTAAAATTAAGAATCAATAACTGGGATGGATTCAAATTAAAAAGCTTCTTCTCAGCACAGGAAACAATTAATAATGTGAAGCAAGACCCTTTAGATTCAGAGAAAATCTTTACCACATGCACCTCCAATAAAGCATTAATCTCTAAAAGTACTTTAAAAACACCAAAACAAACAAATACAAATAACCCAATCAAAAAATGGGCTAAGCAACTCAACAGACACTTCACAGAAGAAATACAATTGATCAACAAATATATGAAAAAGTGTTCAACATCTCTAGCAATTAGAGAAATGCAAATCAAAACTAAGATTTCATCTCCTATTAGAATGGCAATCATCAAGAATACAGGCAGCAAATAAATTTTGGCGAGGATGTGGTGAAAAAGGTACACTCTTATGTTGTTGGTGAGACTGCAAATTGGTGCAACTATAGAAAGCAGTATGGAGATTCCACAGAAAATTGGGAATGGAACCACCATTTGACCAAGCTATCCCACTCCTTGGTTTATACACAAATAACTTAAAATCAGCATACTACAGTGACGCAGCTACATCAATGTTTACAGTAGCTCAATTCACAATAGCTAGACTATGGAACCAACCTAGGCATCCCTCTATAGATGAATCGATAAAGAAAATGTTTATATATATATATATATATATATATATATATATATACACACACACACACACACACACACACTCAATTGAATCTCAATGGAATATTACTCAGCTTTAAAGAAGATTATGGCATTTGCCAGTAAATGGTTGGAGTTGGAAAATATCATGCTAAGAGAAATCAGCCAATCCCACAAAACCAAAGGCTGAATATTTTCTCTAATATGCGGATGCTAATTCACAATAAGGTGGGGTGCACTAGGAAAGAATAGCATTACCTCAGATTAGGTAGAGGGAAGTGATGGGAAGGAAGGAGAGGGGATGTGGGGATAGAAAAGATAGTAGAATGAAACAGACATTATTACTGTATGTATATGTGACTTCATGATTCTAAAACATATACACTCAGAAAAATGGGAAATTATATCCCATCTATGTATGATATATAAAAGTACATAAATGCATCCTACTGTCATGTATAACTAATTAAACAAATTTAAAAAGTTTTAAAAATATGAGGAGGTGATACTACTTGATAATTAGGTGATTATTGTTGTCTCAGAATCATCTCATCCTAGTATGGGAAGAGGGATGGGGAAAATCATCCTGAATCCAAGTCAGGCTGTCAAAGAGTTGCCAGTCTTTATTTTGGTTGGCAGTACCAACCTTGGAAAGGATCAGGCAGTGTCTCCAGAGGAAATGACATAAGCATCCCCTAAGATGGTCTTGCCAATAGATTGCAGGAAAAGGAGGTAGTCTCAATACCACCGAGTTGCCTAGATAGATAGTGAGTCTCTAAAGACCTGACGTGGCTCACCATGTGGCCCAGATGCTCAGCAATGGGAAAAGCAGGTGCTCTGCCTGAAAACTGGATAACAAGGCCAGTCTTGTTAGCATTCAAATGTGTTATCAGTGCAGAAGGCAAGGGTTTCTCTCTGGCCAGGGCAGCCAACTTCCCTCAGGTGTAGCACACTCTGTAACAGGCCTCCCCAGAACAAGGGTTTTGCCCAACTCAGTGGAGCTTGGAAGTTCACCAGCTCCATCACATTCTGCCAAACAGAGTGAAGGTTGAGACTGGCACATGTGCCAAAGGGAGCCCCAGCTTTGAAAATTTGACAAGCTCCTGTGCTCTGTTTTCCTGCTGGCCATTACCTTATGGCTTGTTTCTCACCAACTGATTTCTGCTTTTCTTCTTTGGAAGGCTGCAATCTCTGATGGTTTCAGGCCATGGCCCACTTGCCTGCAGGGTGAAGAGAGTGTGGCAGACTAGGGAATAGGAAAACTCTGATTAAGTGTGAACTCCACTTACCCATCTCTGCGCACTGGTGGGGGCATAAGGAGAGGCTTCATGAAGTCTTTCTTTCCAACCAACCAGAAGGTCTCCTCTGTGCATTTGCCCTTATTATAGACAAAATGGGGGGGGGGGGGGCATTATATTCAATTTTCCTAAAAAGCCCTTCTGATCAGTAGGGTACAGGCATTCATGTTAGCTCAGAAAATGCCTGTGATTTTCCCTTGTCACCATTCCCTGGAGTTTTCTTTTTCTACATATTTTTCTTACCTATTGCTCAGGCAAGTTCCATAGATTACCATAGAAGCCAGATTAAAAGTGAAAATCATATCAAGCTGTCATTCAGATGTTTTGTCTACCCACCACAGCAGCTCCATCTTTGGGAACACGTGGATGTTTGGTTTCATAGCAACCAAACATCTGGATGCTCCATTGATGATGTAGTTTGACATTTTACCCTGATCTTTTGGTATTAGGCAAGCTATTGTCTACTCTATGTAGAGTATATGCCTTCAGAGTCTACCTTTCTCTGCATCCAGCCATCTGATGGTTTTCACAAAACATACAAAAGGAACAGAAATGGAAAATAGACTGTGCAAAAAACTTGTTTGGTTGCCTTGAGAAGTCTTTATTTCTCTAGTATTCTTTTCTTCCAACTTATGGGATTCTTATGGGTATGACAAGATCACAGGGAGGTTTTCATTAGATACTTATCAGGAATCATAGGTCTGAGGACAGAAAAGGAGAAAAAACCCAAGCTAATCCCCACAGGCCTGCATGATGACATCAGAGGAATCAAATTTTCTCTCTCTATTCTGCCCTCTCCTCTTTCTAGTACACTTTCCTCTTAATGTGCTTTTCTCTCCTCCTTTCAGTTCTCTTTTGATTGTACTCACTTCCTCTAGTCCATAAGAAAAAAAAATGTGTTTACTAAGACTGAGAAAAGTAATGGTACGTGTTTCCAAACCATTAATCTGAAATATGGTCTCACTCTCAGCAGCTCTCATTTGGAACAGTTCTAAATTATTTAACTTAGCAATTTCAATTAGGTTTGCCCCCTGCACACATCAAATCCACTGTTCCCTATTTTACATCACATGTATTCTTCCCTTAATAATAAAGACGATATCCATAATAATAAATGGCACATTTCACTGGAGAATCTCAAAGCATTTTGCAAATATTTGGTTCAAGATTCGGAACAAACCCTCCATAAGAAAACTAGAAAAGAATGTCACTGTAGCCCAATTCCCCTTAACTGGTAACCAACTCACCCTAAACCTCAGATAATAGGGCAAATATATTCAGGACTACTCTGTTTTTAGAAGTGAAAAATCTTGAAAATATACTCCATCACTCATACTTGCATTTATTTTGCCCTTCCTGTACTAGTGCCAGGATTATAGAGATGACCCAGTCCTTAAGCAGCAGACAATAGCATTAAAAAAAACAACTATTGGGCCATCTTTTGGATTCTAAATCCATTAAGTCCAACTCTAAAGCTCTTTCTTTACCTCACAGTACCTAGTAAAGTGTCTTGTACAGACAGTAGCTCAATAAATAATCAGAGTGTTCCATTAACTGGAAATCTCAACCCTTGAACACTTTGAATACTTAAGGATCATAGGACTTCATTTTGGTAAAACACTATTAAAACTCAAATTTGAGTATCCTAACCCCATCCATATTTGACTGTTTGTCTTGAGATCCAGAGGCCACTAGAAAAACATGCCAAATTTCAAGTGAATTTTGTAGATTCCAGGATTATGCAGAGACTTGGATGGGTATCCTGGGACATACTAGGATGCCAAAACTGGTAGTTGCAAAAGATGGGAGTGTTATGGGCTCAGGCAAGCTTCCAAATCAAAGTATTCAGGGGAGCTCTGGGGGCACTCTGAGGTTTTGGAACTCATCCAGGAGAATTCTTAGAATCCTACCTCTCTGTTTACCCACTCCACTTCCATAATTCTTCAGAAGACAGGGAAGAAGGGAAACAAGTGTGGCAACAACTGAAGCCTAAAGCAAACTCTTTGACCCAATATCAGTCCCTGGGCAGTCCCAGAGACCTCCCAAATAATAACAGCTTGTTTTGGCACAACAATTTTAAAAGATTTTGGCTCCTCCTGTCCTATTTAATCCTCAGAAAAATTCTGGAAGGTAGTTTTTATTATTAAACTCATTTTACAAATGGAGGCACTGAGGTTCATGGAGATTGAAAGACTTGTCAATCCACAGGCATAGCTGGAATTTGAATCTAAGCCTACTAGACTTCAAATTTTAAATGTTCTTCCATCCACACCACATAGCTTCTCCAACACACTGAGGTCAAGGGGCAGGTCTAGATGCCAAAAAACAACTGTTGGGAATTTTAAAGGTCATGAGATTAATGGGTTTCCTGATAATCACAGGTCAGAAGAGGCCTCTATGTAGATAAACAGAAGCACAGAGAGGATAAAGTTACTTGTCCAATGTCACACACTGGGTCATTGATAGGGCAAGAATTAGAGACCAGACCTTATGACCTTCATGAATCTGTCAATACAACCTCTTTATTTCTTAGCTCAATTGCTGGTGTGTGTTTGTGTATATGTGTGTGTGTGTGTGTGTGCGCGCACGCGCACGGATGCGCAAGCATGAGGGGGTTGAATAAGGGTGGGGTGGAAGAGAGAGGGAAAAGAAGAAAAATCACAAAATAGTACCAATACTTACAGAACAGGAATGCAAATACTTTTTGTTTTCTAAAGTACTGATGATTGAACTGAAGGGTGTTCTACCACTGACGTACATCCCGGGCCCTTTTTGAGACATGGTCTTGTTAAATTGCCTAGGCTGGCCTCAAACTTGTGATCCTCCTGTGTCAGCTTCCTGAGTAGCTATGGTTAAAAGGCCTCACTGTGGTGAGGTAAATGGTACCAATACAGAAATGGTCTCCTGTCCTCTGCCTTCTTTTCTTTGGGTCTTCTCTTCCTTCCTCTCATTTCCTATAGTACCTATTCTCTTCTTTCAGTATCTTCCTCTCAATCTCTCTTCCCTCTGAGGCCCCTGCTGCCCCAATAACCAATGCCTAATGTGGCAATGAAGAAATGATTCTCCCTCCAACTTGCTGTAGAATGTTCCCAAATTCCCTGGGATGAGGGAAACAGTGAAGCTGCAAAGGACCTTTCTGAAGTAGATCCTGCTTTTGTACTCAAAACTCCCCAAAATGCAAGTACTTATAACTAGAATTTGTGGAGTAATAAAATCATGGGGGGGGGGGGGTCACGTCTTTCCTTTTTCAGCTTCTAAAGTGGCGTTTCTTCAGTTTTTAAATGAAATTTCTGTGTCAAGAAATATAGAGGAAAGTGCTTCAGGAAACCAAGCTATCTTTGTCCTCCTCTGCTAAGAAATGACAGGATGTATAGAGGGATCACTAAAGACTCAGGCAATTTGATTTACTGCCCAAGTAATATCCCTACCCCCATAACCTCACTGTGTGAGTTCTCTGCAGAGGTTGTGGGGTGGGGGAGGTTCTGTTCCTTTGTGATTCATTCCACCTGCTGGAAGATATTAAGAAACTATTAGAAAAGACAAACTAAGACTAGACATAAAAAGGAAGTGATCAACTAGAATCAGGTCTTCCAACATTTAACTTATGAAATCTAGTTACGTGTAAATTACCACCGTTAGGGGAAACAAATTGCATATCACCCAGTTCCTTGCATTTGCTTTTCCCAAGAATAATCACTAAGAAAATCATCTATATGCCATGTGATGTCATGGAAGCAAATCAGACTTTCTGAATTTAGGCCTGATTCTGCTATCAATTGAGTGTGTGACCCTGTTCAAATTGCTTCTCCTCTCTGGGTCTTGATTCTTCATCTGAAAATGAGGGAGTTAGATTATCATATCACTGGGGTCTCTTACAACCAGGTCACCAGGGACCATCCAAAAATACATGAGAAGAATTCAGTGGAAAAGGAAAAAGGAAAGTTATTCCAATCCTGAATCCCAGGTCAAGTGTAGCTCCCAAAGAGACAAAAGATGCTCCAAAATGTTGGTCTTTCATAGGAACTGACTTTGTTCCTCCTGGCCCTTGGAGAAAGACATAAAGCCTCTCTGTAAATAGCCAATGGTGTAAATGAAAAGTCAGAAAGTGCGGACACTGAGTAGGTGAATAGAGTACTCAAACTCTCCAATAGTATTGCTTATTGAACAATGTCCAACACTTCCAAAGAGTAAACAAAATGGGAGTTAGAAAATGAAAATAACAATACAGTTTGTTCAGAAAGCAGAATTCTGGACAGTTTGGAAGAGAAGAAAGTTGCAAATTAGAGTCTGAAAAAAGCAAAGTAGTCTCAATGATCCCTCCCCCAACCATTTAAGCCATATTTTTTACCTATTTCATATAATTTTTATTTACTTATTTATTTACTCATTCATTAATTAATTCATTGTTTTTTAGTTATACATGACAGTAGAATCTATTTTCACATAATTATAAAAGCATGGAATATATCTTGTTCTAATTCAGTCCCTAATACCTCTTCCTCACCACTGCCTACTCCTTTCCCTCTACTGATCTTTCTGCCATTTACCATAGTTATTTTTTAAAATTAATTTCCTGTAGATGATCACAATGGTGAGATTCACTGTGATATATTTATGTAGGTACATAGGAAAGTTAAGTCAGATTCATTTCACTTTCTTTTTCCTATCTTCCCTCCCTCCCCTTCATTCCTCTTTGTCTAATCCACTCAACTTCTATCTGCTTCCCATTGTATGTTAGCATCTGTATATCAGTGAAAACATTCAACCTTTGTTTTGAGGCGATTGTTCAGCTGTATACTTTTTTACATTTTTTTAGTTATAGATGGATACAATATCTTTGTTATATTTATTTATTTTTGTATGTGGTGCTGAGGATCAAACTTGATGCCTCACGCATGTGAGGTGAGCGCTCAACCACTGAGCTACAACCCCAGCCCTGTTTAGCCATATTTTACAGAGGAAAAAAAAACTGAGGCAGATAGAGCTGGAGATTCTGGCTAAATTATAGCTCTGAGTCTCAGACTCTCAGGTAAGCTCTTTCAGCAGACCATGACCTCTCTAGAAGCAGGTGTATCCAAGTGGTTTGGTTCCAAAAACAAAAGAACATTATACCTTGAGCTCTGTTCTTCCCTGAAACTCGACTTCATAGCCCTCACTCAGAGGCTGAAGAATTGAAACAATACTGAGACTGACATGAATATGGTAAGCCATAAAAGAAAGAGAGGCATGACTTTGGCTCCTTTCTTATTGATAAAATCAATGATAAATTCTCAATTTAATAAATGACCCCACTTCAAAGTGTACTAGATCCTAAGCAAAGTCCTGAGAGAGAGAGCTTTTGTTAGGGTTGCACAGGAGGAGGAGGTGGAATGATGGCCTTCTCCCTAGGCCCAAATAAGGCATTAGCTGTAGCACGTATCAACCTCCTAGACACCATCTCAGATGAAAGGCCATGCAATAGAAAGGTGTTAATTTAACTTGAAGATGGAAAGACCAGCAACCACCACTGTGCTCTCAACTGAAACGTGACCTCCTCTGAGGGAATTTTGTCTTCAGTAGGTTCTCTTGCATGCTGCTCCTAGAGCTGAACTTCCAAACTTTATATATTAATGTAATACTACTTAAGAGACAAAAAACTGTATAAAGAGACAAAAGCTCATGCATATTTACAATTATATCTCAATATTTCTGTACTTAAACATCAATGAGATATATCCCAAGACCTCTGTCTTGGATACTGGACATTAACGTCTACTCTTTAGGTGGGTGTCTCTAGCTGTGTACCCACAAGAATGTATTATTTTCCAATAAACATGGGATAAGAACTTTACCTGGGGAACTACCACTTTAAAATAAATTTAGAACCTAAGTGCATAAGTCTAATTCTTTAATGAACAATAATGAACTATAACTATTTCATTATTTTTTTCTGTTTTCTGGTGCTGGATGCTCTTAATCCCTGAGCCACATCCCCAGCCCTATTTTTAATTTTATTTAGAGACAAGGGTTCACTGAGTTGCTTAGCACCTCACTATTGCTGAGGCTGGTTTTGAACTGGTGATCTTCCTGTCTCAGCTTCTTGAGCCGCAGGATTACAGGTGTGTGCCATCATGCCTGTCTGAATAATCTCCTTCTTAACTGGGGTAAGATCCTTAGTCTTCCTGAAAACTGTCACATTATTGAGCTTGGGTCTTAAATAATCCAAAACTTGCTCTCACACATGCTTCAGAACCATTCTTTCAGAAGCTGATTACAATCTGAATGGGAAGGCATGACTGAAAGAACTGCGAGAAATTTTTACCATGTATGTTCATGATGATTTTCCTTCCCTTAACAGCCTAGTACTGTTGTTTACATGTTCCTCATTGACTAATGAGGACCCAATGCCTCTGCTCAAAAGGGGTTGTCCTATTTCTGAAAACCACATGCCTGGCCAGTCTATCTCAGTCCAAACTGTGCCATCACGCTAATATTCCATCTTCAGGGAGCTTTTTAGCAGGGTGATCCTGCTGGTGGAGAAAAAGGGATGGCCAATTCTAACTACCAGTCAGTGATGTGGTAAGGAGAATCACTCCAGGGCTAAGTGACTAGTCACTTCCACCCCAGAATCTCAGTGGATGCAACTGGATAAAAATGAAATATTGGTAAAATTGATTTTCTGTTAATCGACCTGTTACATGTCTTGGTTTCATATTCAATGTGAGGCTTGAGGTTACCTCTTTACAGATGTTCAGTCACTTGTGGAGCTTAATGCCGTATTCAGCTCACAGTCATTAGCTTTCAGAAAAGCACACTAAACAGCTCCTGTAGTGCAGAGATCACATGTGTACGTTTCTTTGTATCCCTCACAATACCTTCTTTGCATAGTCAGTACTTAATAAACACCTGCTGTGAGTGATTTGCTTCATTTTCTTCTTGCCTGTTCACTGGACAAGGTGCTGCTTAAATCTCAAAATTCAATTTCTGCTTTCAACTCTTTATTGGCAATGTGAAATGTGTGGAGTTTTCTGTAGTGCAGACCAGAATATGACTTCAGCCTTCTACAAGCTTACATCAGTCCAGCATACTGTGCCAAATCTGCATTGCGGTTCCATGATCAATTTCACTTCATCTTGGGTTGCACTGCAAGAGCAAAGTCATATGCAAAGTCATATTCACACAGTGGTTCCTGGATGACTACTTCCATGGCCTCTGCCATATCTGTAGAGTTTGAAGACTTTCCCAGATGTCAGAAAATTTATTCTGACAACAGCTTCTAAGTTCCGTGCTGCCTCCTTAATCATGGCTACACAGGATAGATTGACTAAGACTGGACCCATTGTGTAAGCCTGTTTCTGAACATGAGTGATGGGGAGTGGGGTCAGACAGGGCACCACCCACTGTGATATAGGCCACCATATCATCAGGGACTAGTTTGAGTATACTGCCAAAGTTGGGGAAGAGCTTATCTTGCCTAGTAGCTGCCAGAGCCAGGGCTCCTATGGGCTTAAATGGTTTCTTTCTTTTTAACATAAAATCCATGAAAACCGTATATAAAATTTGATGTTGTTCTCTATGCTTTTCCTATAACAGCATGAAAAATTTCTTTGCTCAACCATGATATAGGTAAAAGGTACATTGTGTTTCTGACATTATCTCAGTAGTGGCAGTAAATAATCAAGAAAGGGTAGAGCCAGTATCTTGTCAGCAACAGACAAGTGGGATCATGGTTTACGTAGTTTTATTCTCAAAGAAGGGAAGAAGACGTGGAATCTTTGATATTATGCTTGTTTTGAAGAAGCTAAAGATTTTTTACACAATATAGTTGGAATTAATTATTTCAGAATTCCAAGCTCCTTAGATTAAGGGATTATTGTTAGCTAAATTCTAGGGGTTATTTGATGAAGCCAGAACTCCTGGGGTCCTAACCAGTTCAAAAAGAGGACTAGAGCAGTGAATAGCAGCCAGCTGGGAGGCAGCTGGTTCCAGTGTGTCTTCACAAACTAGCTGAAAAACTGAAAATGTCACTCTCTTACCTAGTTCTTTTCTCAACATGACTCTCCCACACCCACTAGGCTGGCCAATTCTTTCCTTTACCCAAAAGACTTTTTTAAGTTGTTTTGATCAAATTGACTGGCTGTTTCGGTGCCACTTAGCTACAGCTTTATTTCTAGAACAAGAAAGGTACATGTTCAGGCCAACATCACCCCCTACTGGTTTGCTATTAGAGACCAGGAAAATGTGTGATAAATCTTCATCTTCTCAAATTATCTTTTATTTTTCTTTAAAACATTACAAAATCAAGTGCCCTATTCTTCTTATCCTCTCCTGAAAAAGAATCATTTCCCAAAAGTAGATGCTACTATTCCACCCATCCATCCATAGATACTCACATAACCCTGTTGATTCCATCTGAGAAGCTGTGTTCATGGTGTCTCCAAACAAGCAGTTTCTGGGTATAGTGAGACCCGTCACTCCATCAACAACCAGCCTCAAAGAGTAGCAGGAGGAATTACAGTCAAAAGTATGCACTCGATGCTAATGGAAGGGTGAGGAATGTAGTTTTGTGAAAGAATGAAAGTTGCTATCAAATAGCTCTGGGAATCTGAAGAAAGACTTATAATTGAATTAAAAAAAACTCTTTGCTCTATGAGAAAGCAAGTTTATAATGATGCATACATGACTACCTTTCTGATTTATACCTGTAACAGTTGCACCCAAGATGCTTATATCTGTCAACAGGACAAATATGCTTCAACACCAAACCAGAAAAGCCTGCACAGGGACTCAAGATCCAAACGTGTTTATTGCAAGAAAAAAATGTGACTCTCTCTTGTGCCTTAGGGTTGGAAGTATCTCATAGATCTACCTGTGCCTAAAACTCTACTAGGAGAAATATTGTTAACAGAGTTGGAAAATTTGAAAACAAGTAGAACTGACTTTCAATTATCAGTGTTAGGGTATAGAAGAGCACTATGTATAGATAATCCAAGGATATTTTCTATTTGCTCTTTGAAAGATTTTTCTTCTCACATTTTAATATGGCTATAGTAGCTATTCAGGGTAACTGAAATAACTTAGCAGCTATACTGAAAAGTCAGTTCATTAATATCTAGAAATTTCCCAACCTTTACCTTTCTGGTCTCTGCCACTTCTATTTAAATTTTTCAGCATTATATTTTTGATGTTTCCTGAGTTAGAAAATAATTATGTGTTTTGCTTCAAAAGTTTCTTTCCTCTGAGAATAAAAATAAGAAATTTTTTTTAATTCCCATTTTAATTCACTTCTTACTCAATCAGAAACATCCATTGTGCATTGAGCTAGGCATCAAAGGGGAGTACAAAAATGTAATACATAGTCTCAGTTCTCTAGGAGTATTAAAATCTAATTGAAGGAATGAAACTATCAAACAGGAAGCAATTAAGCAACAACACAAGACATGTATGGTTGAAGCAAGATAAATAGTACAGATAGAAGGCTATAACAATTTAGAAAATGTGGAGAGGTGCTTATTAGGACCTGACTCAATCAAGAAGGAGTCAATGGAGAAGGTAAGATTTGATTTGGGTCTTGATGGTGGGTAGAGTTTTGAATAGGCAAAAAGGGACATAAATCAAAGGCTTGAGGTTGGGATTGAGCATGTATGTAATTTGGGGAAGCAGTCTACCAGTTCATGCAGCTGGGGAGAAATTGGAGATAAGATTGTATTAAGGTTGTACAAGATGGAGGACCTTCAATCACTAGAGAATTTTGAACAAGAATTTATATAATAAAAATTATTTTTTCCTTTTTTGTCTCTCAAATCAGTGTATAGAATGCATTGTAAAAGGAAAACCTATTGGCTATTGTAGCAATCCAAGAAGGTGGTACTGGAAAGGTGATGATGGGAAGTAGATGGTCAAAGGGGGTGAGAAAAGGAAGACATTATGAAAGAAGAATCAGCAGACTTGTTGGCTGTCCAATTGATGATCAACAGAAAATTGGCAAGGGCTTATGGATTTATGCTGGCTTGAGGAAAAGATGATTTGGAGTTAAATTTGGAATTAAGTATGTTAAATTTGAAATAATGGCAAATTATCCAAACACAGGTATACTGAGGGGGAGGGTAGAGATAGGAAACTGGAATACAAATGAGAGATGAGTGGTAGTCTTTGAAAGAAAAATACTGAATGCCTCCTATATACTAAGCACTCATGACATAAACATGAGTAATATATAGTTCCTACCTCCAAAGAACTTAAAGTCTAAAAAAAGAAAAGACAAAAAAACAGATTATGCTGATTAATATGAGAAGGATGGATGGAAAGAGGCAAGCTTGGAAGAAAAACGATGTTATTGCAGTAATCCAGACAAGATATGCTGGTGGCTTATATTTGGAAACTGAGAGTCAAGGAGAGGAAAGATAGACCCAATAAATGTTTAAAAGGTAAAATGTTCAAAATTTAGCAATTGGTTAAATGTCAAAGGTCAGAGTAAGGGAGGAGTTATTATGATATTAAAAACCAACTGGAGTAATTGAGTCAATAGTGGTAACACCAACTGAAATAGAGAATTCAGAAAAAGGAGGAAGTTTGTAGAGAAAGGGAATATTTATGTATTAGATATGTTGAGTCAAAGGACCATGTGGAATATTCAGGTGGAAACCTCAGCAGGAAGCTTGATATACAAAGGCTGAAACTTATGGGAGAAGATTGTCCTGAAGATGTGTAATTAAATGCCATCCGCCTACAAGTGGTAGTTAAAACAGACAAGAATGAAATAACCCAGAGTAGTATGGAGAGGGAAAAATAGTGGATCAGGACAGAATCCTGGGGAACACCATTATTTAAGAGACAGAGACAAAAGAAATTATTAGACAGTGGTAGAAAATGAAAGCCAGGTTGGAATGGTAGAATATGAAAGCCTGGCTCCCTGGTTGGACCAGGTTGAGAAATAAATTAGGTGAGAACATGCAATAAAGCTTCTGCAGAAAATGGTAAAAAAAAAAAAAAAAAGAAAGAAAGAAAAGCTAAGAAAACCAGTATACCAAGTGGAAAAGCAACTGTTGGAAAGTGGAGAGCAAATCATGATAGCCAACTGAAAGAAGTTTTAGGGTGGATTGTCATGAATGCCAAATGCTACAGACAGGTAAGAGCAGACAAAGATTGGGGAAAGTGGTGAGGGCTGAAGCCAGATTGCAAAAGGGTTAATGGGGAGTGGATAGCCTCTTCACTATGGCATTGTGTCATTCATTCTTTCAAGAAGTTTGATACAAAGAGATGAAAAGGATGAGGGAAGAAAAGGAGCCTAGAAGAGCAGATCAAAGAGAAAGAGGTGAGGAGTGTGGAGGCTACCAGGAGGGACTAGTAGGTGAGATATCTGTTACATCAAGTGAGATGTCTCTCAATATACCGGAATGTGTGAAGTGAAACAGGAAGGATACAGTGAAGGGGGAGAACTTGAAAATGTCCAAGCAAGAAGGAATGAGTGTGGGGGAAAATACTTCAGGAGTTGAGATATCTATCAATTAAACAAATTATCCTAAATACAGTATACTTGGTGATCTTGTAGCACAGTCAAACAAGGAACCATTGGTTCTAACTCAGAAAGGCAGACTGAAACAGTTTAATAGTGAAAAGAGGGCTGCTGTTCACTGTGGTGCAGGAGCTGGGAAGAAGGTACACTTGGGTAGGCATAAAGGAATTATGCAGCCCTGGACACCTCAATAATTCAGCTGCCAGGAATCAGGGAAGAACTACCTTTTTACCTTCCTTTTCTAGTCTTCCTTAAGGTACATGGGGAATGTTTCATCTTACTTAAACTGGTTGTTGTTACCTGAGTGCAGGCCCATTGAATTTGAACTGGTACTTCTGGCACAGGCTGCATCTTGAAGGTGCCCATGTAGCTCAGGATATCCAGGGACATATTTGCAATCTCAGCTGCATGCCTGCTGCCATTCCTTTTTGGGAGGCCTGACTGAGACCACCATCTAAACACTTCCAATGGTCTCTACCTGGGAATCAGGGAAAGTAGAATTAGCAAGCAATTAACCTCTTTGTGTTTCTTTTGTTTTGTTTTGTTTTCACTGTGTCTGGGATAGGATTGCGGTCACGTGATCTTCTTCTATAGTGAGAAAGTCAGAGGAAGGCTATCAGCAGTTTATGGGTCTAATTGTACATTAGAATCACTTAAGGATTTTTATTTAAAAACTACAGATGTCTGGGCCCCCCACCCAGAGATTCTGAAATAAATGTAGTTATTTCACAGGCTCCTGAATGACCTTAAAGAAATATCAGGCTGCAAGGAATTTGGAGAGAAGGGAAAGGGGATATTTCTAGGACTGTCTGTAGGATGTCCCAGGGGGAGCACCCAAGGAGAAGCTGCCTAAGATACTCCCCCAGCAGGCATATCTGTAGATAACTTTGGGTAAATGAACTAGAGCAGCCTAGGGAAAGGGAGGACAAGGAAGAATCTATTCCCTCTGGTTTCTGTATTACTTCTAAAATATGATGAAATTAGTTTTTCATACTAATTGGGAATAAGAACTGGGCCTTTTCCCACCAGTCACCTCCTTCTTTCTTACTGCTACCTCCATGAGGGGCAGCAATACTGACCCACAACTGATCCACATGGGCCAGTTAGGGATGAACATTTAGAAATAAAAGCAAATTTGTGCTCCTTATCTTCTCCATAGAAGTGTGCTCATTCTTTTGGACAACCAGTAAATTGAAGCTTTTCAGGTAAATTCAAAAGGTGAGTAAGCTGAAAGGCCAGTTGGGCTGGGCTACTACAGGACTGGATCTAGTTACAATCTATGTTTTCCTAGAGGACTACACTTACAGGATGCAATAGTTAAGAGAATGAAACCCTATCATACTGCCTTGACTAGAATCCCAGATTCACCACTTACAAACCTGAGGCAAGTCACTTAATCTGTGTGCTTCAGTATCCTCATCTGTAAAATAGGGATAATGACAACACTGGCCTCATAGTGTTTTCTAAGGACTAAATAGTATGTCAAAACACTTAATGTAAGCTATCACCATCATCATCATCACCAAAAGTCATGTCTTGAAACCAGCCTATGATTAGGCTGCAGAGAAAGAAATTTAGTAATCAGCAATGGGCTCTCATCATGACTTTCTATATAGCCAATAACAATGATCCTTTTCACATCTAGGGCTTTGTCTCTCAGCATGCTTCCATCCAGGGTCTCCATAACCTGGTATGGTTTGAGGAAAGGATTCCTGCCCCCAAATAGGCATGATTGCCTGCATAGAGTTGCATAAATGCTGTATGGGAGTGGAAACTCAGCGGTTGGCAATTACCAGAGCCTGATAGTTGACCCTTTAGCTTTGATGAGTCAGTTACCAGGAAGCCCCAAGGATATTTATGAGGGGACTAGAAGAGCAGGGAGCCTGGGCACTGCTGGGCCTTGGCATGTAGATTTGTATGAGGAATTACAGATTGCATCAGCTAGCATAAGGACACTGAAAGGGAAGGGAAGGTATAGAAAAGGGTCTGATTCAGATGGAGGTGGTGGCAGGAGAACTGAAAGTGAAAACAAATCACCAACTCCATAATTCTGATGTAGCCTTTTCACTTCCCTTTCAGATTATCAAGTGCCAGGGGAGGTGATTCCAATTTTACAGCTAAGGAAAATGAAAATACAAACGGGTTTGGTGATTCACTGCTGGTTCAATTTTTACTTCCTTTGCACAGTGTTGTTTTTAATAAACAGGACTGAAAAATTAGATTCCATTTTTGGATTCATATAGCCCTGCTCTGTCCTGGGAGCAGCCCACTAATTCCATACTGCAGCCAAGTCCAAAAATAATTAATGGTCTCATCTCAAAGACCCCCAACAATTGTCTGAACAGAATCAGCTGGATTGATTAAACTAGTGACTGTGTTACTGCCCACGCTGAATCATCTTTGATTTTAGTTTCAACTGAATTAGCTTTCAGTGATTTGTTTTTCTCTTCAGGCTGCTTGAGTTCAACAAGTTAAGACAGGTAGTCTGATTCCATGGATTTTTTTTCCACCGTGGTTTCCATGTGTGCTTCTTGATTAGCTTGCAGCTCCTGTTGATTGACAGGTATGATGTCTATTTCTGAGCCCTATTTAGATGGTTTGGCCTAGCCCTGAGGCTTTCTACCTGACCTGAAAGGGTCCTGTCTAATCTGAGATAAACACACTGCCCTGTGATTTGAGAGCTGGAACATTTCAGACTACTGTGAAGGATCCAATGAATGGAGCTACTCATTCTCCAGCTCTACCTTGGTTCCTGGGACAGGGGAGCTGTCTAAATTCTGGGAAGCCTGGGGCATCTCTCTCCATCAGTAAGACAAGTATCCATGTTGCAGACAACGTAGAAATATCCCTGCACAGCTATGATACCTTTAGTCATTTTCTGCCTAGAACAAAACAACATATAAAAACAAGGGTAAGGAAACTGCACCAAAATGAATGAATGTTCTGCAACCTTTGACAGAGAAACTGGAAACTTATAGGCTAGGGGAGTGGGAGAAGATAGAATCAGGGACTTACAACCTTACAATTAATCACTTCCCCAGACTTCAGACCAATAGGTAGGCTTTCGGTTACCCTGTAGCAATCCCAAAGTCTTGGGTCTAATAGCTCCCTGGTGTAATGCCAAGTTCCTTCCTGTTTAAAAACAGTACCTAAAGGAAGAGACCAAATTTTCATAGCATATATTAGAACTGCACAAATGTTACCAGGATGAACTGTTGCAGCCATTACTGTGGGCAAAACAACTGTATTTCTGTATCCTCTTCAGTGCCCAGAACAACATTGACTGCACTATGGGAACTCAGCCACTGAAGCACAAGTAGCTCTCAGCCTCAACCTCTTCTTAGTCCCAGTTCTAGAAAACAGATCAAAAGGAATCTGTCCGGCAATCTCTCTTTTTATTCTTTTTTTTTTTAGTTGTAGATGGACACAAAACCTTTACTTTTTTATTTATTAATTTATTTTTAAGTGGTGCTGAGCCTCACGTGTGCTAGGCAGGTGGTGCTACCACTGAGCTACAGCCCCAGCCCTGTCTGGCAATCTCTTTCTGGGTTGAGAGTTGTTATTTTGTGAAGTGGGAAATGACATGCATTATGTTTGACCTCCATTTCCAAAGGAAAACCAATAGAAGTTGTGTACCACTTAACTTTTTATTCTCAAAGAACAACATCCTGTGAAAAATGCATCCTTCAAATCTGGAATACACACAGATGAGTTTAATATAAAAATCTCATTCTCTATGTTAATTAATGTACCTGTAGACAACATGACTGCCAATGATCATGTTGAAAAGTGTATACAGGTTGTTCAGAAGATCCACCTCACTCATGGCTGAGATGGTGGTGAAGCCCACAATGTCACTGAAGTACAAGTGACCAAATCAAAGGCATCAGGTTTGACTGTGAAGCCTTTTTTGAGGGATTCAGAGACTGATCTGAAAAGCAGACATAGCTATTTCTAAGAAGACATCAGCCTCCCTCTATGCCATACACACCTGCTCAAACATGATTTCTCTAAAACTCACTGCCAAGTAAATGATGAGAAAGGAACTGTCACCTGAGTAAAAACACTAATTCCTTCACTTATTCTACAAATATATATCAAGTGCTTCTGATGTGCCAGGCACTGTGCAGGTGCTAGAGTATAACACTGAACAGACAGACCTGCTTCAAGTTGCCTTCATGGAATTTTTTTTCAGTTCTCAATACTGCTGCTTCAACTCTCCCATCCCAGGGAATGTTCCCAGGTGGTTGCCTTTCCATGAGACTAATTTCCCCAATTATCTCCTAGAAGATCACGTTACAACATGATAAGATGCTTGGGAAATTTGGGAAATTGTAACAAAAAAATGTTTTCAACTAAGGAAGAGAAAAACCCTGGAAAAAACAACCCTGCTACCTTCCTGTAGGAGCTCAAGGGAGCTTTCTTCTTTTAATTGGTCAACATCCTGGCAAAGTCACGAAGTGACATATAGAAAAACTGAGGCACAAAAAACTTAAATGACCAGTATGATCCACAGGTAGTGGAAAATTAGGATGTGTGCTCTGCTCCCTTGGTTTCCAATTCTACTTTGATTTAAAGGTGTGACTCAAACCCACTGGGAGTAGAGGGGGTACAGGATAGGGGAGGGAGCAGTTAGTTGATGGGTAATTTCTTCTTCTTTTTTTAATAGAACACACTGTTATAAGGATTCACACTCCTCAGGTGTTCACACATACAGTGGTAGCATCTGTGTTAGAAGCATTTCCGTTTTCTGGTTTTCAATTTCCAGGTCTCCAGTACATTCTTAGAATCTTCCAAGTTGCTAGAATATTGCTCCAATATCCGAAGGATTGAATCGATGATATTGGTCTTCTTCCCTCCATTGAAAATATTAAACTGGAAGTAAAAAAGAAAGAGGAGTCAAGGAATGCTTATTCCCTAAACTCAGAGATGATGGAACAGGTCCCCTTATCACAAATCCTTTCCTCTAAAATACCAGGGCAGGAGAGATGAGCCCTGATATAAATAGGAAAAGTCACCACCCATGCCCATTGTCACCCTTGCACATTCACAGGACTCTTTTCCCCCTAAGTAGTTTTCTCTACCCTTCTGGGTCTTTCAAGTCTAAATGAATGTGCTCTAGCCAGGCTCCTTCAGTTCTGAGATGCTATCACTTGAACAGTAGTCACTTTAAAGGCAACAGAATTTGGTCTTTGGCCCAGGCCAGTTGTGGATGAAGTAGGGGAAAGGAGGCAGAAGTGACCATTTACCCTTATAGATTATCCGCCTACTAAATTATACTTATCCTCAAATGCTTCTGTGTTGCCAGTGAATAGTGGAAGTTTCCCTGACCACTTAAAGAGTGTTTGAGTTCTACATGGTCATATCTACCCCTATTTCTTACCATGGGGTACAAGAACAATGGTGTCCCCTAGTATCTGTCCTTCAGTTCTGTCAGAGTCATGTAGAAATTCAGCTGCTTTTGCCTATCCTAGGCCCTGTGGCTACATGCCACAGATGTTCAATATGCTGTCCTGGGTCTTTGTCCATCTCAAGAAACTTGGCCTAGCATTAAGATCAAGAGGGGTAGCTCCCTTGCTGTTATATTTAGCATGTACATAGCTCTGTTAACAACAATTTAAAAAAAACTGGTGGCAGTTTTGATGAGCAAACTTCTAGGTCTCTGTTCCAATGAGTGTTGTTATAGAGCTGGGCCAAATGTGCTGCATGGCGCACCCAATGCCTCAAGGTGAACACTAGGGATTTTCTTCCCTTCTATTTGTCCACCAAGGTCCTGGGGGTAACCTCAGCAGCCGCTTCAGATCCTTTGGGTTCTCCTTATTGCCTAACTTAGAGAAATGCTTCTCTTCTTAGAATTTTATTAACTGCAGAAAGTTGGGAGGCTAGTCTTATAGTCAGACAGACTAAATTTCCACTGAAGCATTTTAGTGAGGGTAGCTCCAGCAATGTCTTGTTTGAAAGTTGCATGATGCATACTCCTATCTATCACCAGCTTTTCTGTTGCCTTCTGAAATAACATCTCTAGCATCAACACAGGGCAAATGCTTTATCTCCTGCCTCATGCTAAGTTTTTAGAAATTTGACCTTAATGGTCCTTTGCTTTTTCCATACTATTGAACACCTGTTTGAGTGTCCTCAAGAAAGCCAGCCAGACTAATGGAGGCATTGTTAGCTGGGGACACGGATGACTTCATAAGCAGGGCCCCTCAGGCTTTCAATCCAACTCTTTCTCTTTTCCGCCTCAGATACCTGCCACTCATAAAGCATCTGAGCACTGTACTCTAGCCAGGCTCAAAAACCTCTCTGTCAGAACTGACAAGGCACTCTGGAGAGCACCCTCACTTTTGGTATCTTGTAATCTCAACAAAATTCTACACTGCATGCATCAGAAGAAGATCCACACCCTAGATTCCTTAGTAGGGCTCATTCCCCATCTTCCCTTCTGATTTTTAGTTTTAGAGAAAGAATTAACCTCTTTAGAAATTCAGTATCCAAAGGAAAGGGGTTATCACTTTTCATGTACCTATTGCCTTAAGTAGTTCTCTGGGAGACTAAGGAATCTCCTAATTTTGCATTCTCCATCTGCACATTCTCCCCTCTTGAACACCCTTTCAAATTTTGCATATTCTTCCTGATCCTCCAAAACCAATTTGCCATGATATAAATGATATACTATCAGAGTTCCCTGAGATCTCCAAAGCAAACTCAGCTCTATGAAGAGCCCCATGCATTCTATCATATCAACTTCTGACAGTCTCAATGTCAATCTTTGCAAATGCCTGCTAGTTCAATTCCATTGTAGAAAGATTGGTTTGGCCAGATTGTGGATGACCTGAAAAAGATATTCAGATACAGAAGTACACCAAAATCAGTCCATGGGCTCTTGGAGGATACAGTGGTGATGCCCTAGCACCAAGGACCTCAAAGTAGCCACTCTCAGATTGCCAAGAGAAGTATCCTTTTCCCTTGCAAGTTTATTCCACAATGTGCTAAACACCCAATTGTTGCACTTGGGTAGGGTGGCTTTAAGATGGCTTGTGGGCAGTGGTAAGATTTAGAGAATCTTTTCCTGGTTAAATAGTTCATCAAAAGTTGGTCATTGTTCTGCTACCTCAGCCCAGCACTGCTTCATGAAAGGCAGACATTCTGGAGGGGCATGCTCAGAAACTACTGGTCTGTACACAGAAGGAGGCTTGTTAAGCCTGTCTATGATTTCTGTCCAGATACAGAAAGAGAGAGGTTTACACATCATGGAAAAATTACCCAAGAATCAACAGAGATAACTGAGCTTTAGGCAAGAAAGGGGTTTATTAGGAAAAAACACAGGATCATTTTCTTTGTTTTCTCCTTAGGGGACTTGAATATCAATTGTATCTGAGCATAAGTCTGTATCAGAACTTTTGAAGGGGGTAAGAAATTAATCAATTGAATTATTGGTATCATTTAGACACAACTTTATCCTACTTCTACTAGGTTTTACTTACCCGATGTCAATTCCAATGCTTTGATAACCTGGTTTCCTTCATTCACACCCAAATCATCTAAACCTTACCCATAAGAGATGCAGATAATTCTCCCTGCAAGCTCAGGTCCACCACAAGTCTGGGCTTTGGGATCTGACTGGCCTCTAGGCAAAGGGAATTAAGAATAGCAGTAAACAGCTGAGGGCTTTATCAAGCCCCTCCTGGTTGATGATCAATGAAGGCCACTTCCAACAGAATATTTACTATATATCAGACTATGGGTTGAGCACTTTGCATGCATTATTCTTTGGCTTCTCGCTACAAACAGATGTGGCAATTTCCCCAAAGTCACATGACTAGTAAGTGACAGATTCAAATATGAACATAGGCAATCTCAATCTACCACACTGTTCTGCGCCCACACTTAGGGCCTCAATTGGGTCCCTATTCAAACCCAAAAGCCATTAGTGACCAAAGGTCTAGATCACCCAGACTGACCTTTTTACAAAAGGAAAAAGCTCACTCCCTGGAAGCAGGAGAAAATCCTTAGCTCTCAATGTCCCCATCAAGCCACACTGGGCTTCATTGACTTCAGCTTACAGCCTAGACATTTCCAAACCATTCCTAAAACATGAATATGGCAATATTACTGTCTCAATACCTGCAAAATAAAAATCCAGGCTCTTTAACATGGCCCCTGACTACATCTTTGGACTCATTTCTCATCCCCAGTCCCCTCCCCACCCACCAACTCTTAACCTTTGCTTCATGAACCAAACCTTGCTTGGCCCACCAGTGTGCCCTTCCCACTCCTATATAGGCTATAACAAAATCAAACCCTGATAAGTGCCCCTTGTCTCCATGAAAAAAGTTCAACTCTTGCCTCTAATTTCTCAGCTCCTTATGACATCACACCTTCTCCTTCTCCTAGAGTAGCCTGTGTTGCATCCTGTGGTCAATGCAATAGAGTCATGGGAATAAACCCCTTGGAATGCTTATGCCCCATCTACTCTCTGTTAGAGGGAGTCCTTGTCCCTGTCTCAGAACAAGATCCAGTTGAATGGGTCACCTATCTCCTTAGGCCCAGCGTGATTCATGCCCTTGAGGATCTCATAGTCCAATTGAGTTAAACAAAGACAAAGGAAACAAAGATGTAGCAGAGAGATGTACAGGTAAACACAGAGGGGGTTCCTGATCCACAGTGAAGAAGTCAAGGAAGCCTTCCCAGAGGAGTTGGCACAAGTTGGAGAAAGCAAGATGGGGGCGGGGGGAGATGAAGGAATTCCAAGTACTGTAAACAGCATGTATAAAGGCACAGAGGTAGGAGAGACCATGAGATTTTCAGGGCACTGCCAGGCATGTGGTTTAGTTGGAATGGGGGAAATAACAGAAGATAATCCTAGAGAAGTAGAAAATGGATGGTATTAGAGGCTTCTATATGTTGCATGAGGAATCAAGGTTTCATTTAACAAGTGATGAGTAACATTTGCGGTATTTTAAGTACACGACTGATGTGAGACCCTGAGAGCAGCAAAAGATAGCTAAGTGACCTTTTTTCCTTTTTAAAATCGTTTATTTTAAGAATAAATTTAGACTTTTTAAAAAGTTGCAAAAATAGTACAGTTGCCTGCATACCCTTCACTTAGTTTACCCAAATGTTAGTAACTTATATAACCATAGTACAAAGGAAATTAGCATTTGTCCAACACCCTATAGGGTCCTTATTTGAATTTCATCAGTGTTCCCCTAATGTCCTTTTTTTAAAATTTCAAAATTCCAGACCTCATGCTGTATGTAATTTCTCTTTCTTGGTTTTCTCCACTTTGTGACCTTTCCTCATTCTTTTCCTATCTTAGACACTTTTGATGAGTTCTGGACAGTTATTTTGTAAAATGTATCTCAACTGGAGTTTGTCTGAAATTATCTCATGATTAAATTGAGGTTATGAAATTTTTTTAGCAAGAACACCTCAGAGGTAATGTTTGTGCCCTTCTTAGAGCATCATGCCCGGTCTACATGTTGTTGATGTGCCTTATTTCTGGTGATAGCAACTGAGAACACCTGGGTAAGGTGGTGTCTGCAGGATCCTGCATTTGTAAACTTACTATTTTTCCATTTGTAATGAGTATTTATCTTGTGGGTTCATGCTTTGAGATATCCTGTTTCTCTTCAAATTTTCACCCACTGATTTTACTATCCACTGATGGATTTTGCCTGATAGCCATGTGTTTTAAATGGGTGATGAGAATGAAAACCTGTGTCATGTCACAGTGAAAGATCAGCATCCAGAGGCATCATGAGTAGTGCTGAAACCTTGGCAAGAAGTGACTCAAAGGAGTAGAGGGGACTGGAAAAGAGGACAAATGTATTGACATAGGTCTTGTAGGCACTTGGCTTATGTCACAATTTGAAAAAGGACTAGCTGCCTGGATGCCCCCATGGTTAGTGCAGATGCTTAAAGCCTTTTGGCTCTAGGTCCCACCTGCATACAACATGGGTTGCTTGCAGACTAGCAGTCTGTCAGCACAAACGCTCTTCTGGCAAATCACAACAGCCTGGGTTGGCTTGATGATCGAGACACAGTGGGCCTATGGTACCTTTTTGTCACCTCCTGCTTACCTTCAGCAGGCAGTTCCATCATGCAGAATGCGGTTCCCCAAATCATCACTTCTTGCATGATGATGGCAAAGCTACACACATCTCCTGTAAATCTGCTGCCACTCGGAGCTCTCAACAGTTCAGGGGCAGTCCACAGCAACTCTGCAAAGAAAGAATTGTGCAATGAATGTACGGAGGATTAACTGACACCTACAAGGCTCTCAAGGGCTGAGGGTGCTGTTTTATTGACTGCTCTATATTTTTATTATACAGACTGGCATGCAACCCCCCAGTCTGAATCTATTAATCTAAGGAATTATGCACAGAGAAAACATACAACCCTCTCCACCCCAGGACTATGCAGACAGACACAGCAGAGGTGTGGGGAAGGGCAAGAAGCTTGCAGTAGACATTATCTGGTACTTGCTTTCTTGCTCTCTTGAGCCTGCAAGTAGCAGTTGGCAGGTTTCCAGGGAAAGGCAAGTGCACTGCCAGACTGGTTGCCATGGATTTGCTGTTTGCTAAGATCTATATGTGTCTGGTAATTTGATTGTGCCAGGGCTCAGGGATTCACAACTTGCTTTCTCCAGGTCTTCTCTAAAAGGATTAGAGGATGCCCAGGCCTCCTCTGTTCCTTGCAGAGCAAAAAGGTACAACAGTTACTTTAACTCAGTTCTACAAATATTTATTGAGGGTCTAATATGTACCAGGCATTATGAGAAGTGAAGGGACAGTACTAAAGATGAATCAGACCTTGTATTTGCCTTCAAGGTATTGAAAAACCAGTGGGCAAGACAGCCATGTGTGCCCCTAAATGTAATATGAGAGAGATGGCGATGACAACCACTATATCATACATGTTAATGATTCTATTAAAAGCAAAATTTGAATACCCACTGTATGCTCTGATGTATTTCAGGCCCCATGGGGGACAAAATATTATCTAAGGTTTCAGTGTCTATGACAATCAGAATGTCAGAAATTTTTATAGGGGGCAACGTAGGCAATATATACAGAAATATATTTTGATAATATAAAGAGTAGTCAAATATAGTGGAGCTAAGTTTTGAGTTGAACCCTATAAAATTGTCATGTCTGTGGGTTAAAAATGGCTGAATATCGGCAATTTCATCAGGTTCAAACTAATAAAAAATTGAGCAGACCAAATTAATCCAGGAAGGCTTCCTGGAAAAGTTAAGTCTTCTGTGCACTCATTAAGAAGGTCAAGGATGCAGCTTTCTGGAGCTGAGAGGGTAAGGGCTTTGCAGGGAGAAAGAACAGTATGTGCAAAAGAACAAGAGGCAGAAAGGAGCAAATTGTGGGTGGTAGGAGGGTGGTAAGCAGATTAGTTTGGCTGAAGAGAAGGGCTCTGTTAAGGAATAATGAGAAAGGAGAAATGGGGTTGATGAAGTGGGGGAGGGAGGGTGGCTTGAAGAATGGGGGCAGAAGGTGAGAGGCCCTGAGAGCCAAATGAAGGCATTTGGAATGAATACAAAAGGCAGTAGGGGTGCTGGAGCTGGAGAGGGATTTGATGAAAGCCTTGTTGGGAAGATTAATCTGGCAACCTGCACAAGTTGGATTGAAGGAGAGGCTGGAGTCAGGGAGACTAGCTAGGAAGTTATTGCAGTAGCTGGGGTGAAAGGGGCCTGAATGGGGGTGGGGCAGCATTAGTAGGATGAGGAACCAAATATATTAGAAGGCTACAATGGAGAAGGAAGTGACAGGACTGGGGATGGGCTCACTGTGCTTTGTGAAGGGGAGGGAATTGAAGTAAACAGGTTGACATTCAGTTAGGGAGGCAGGAGAAGAATGGCTGCAAAGGGTGGGGGTGTCAGAGGGAAAGTGATGGCTAACTTTTCATCTTGTTAAATTTGTGATATAAGAAGGGAGCCCAGGGGGCAAGTTGCTATGAAGCAAGAAGGAGGATGAAAGGTCAGAGATGACTGTGGTTTGGTAGTGAAATCCAGGAAAGAGAAATGCACCCTGGAAATTCTTATTTTCAGCCAACCCTCATCAAAATGATGGAACAAGAAATTCTAGCCTCATTCCTAATCATGTACCCATATTCTCGCTTTGCTCTCCAGGTGTCCCCAGCCTTTGTCCTTGTACTAGGCCCTATGGAAAGTCTCTGATGCACTCACCATATTGGTTTTGTCCTGATGTCTCCCTGTCTCAGAGGACAGATATTTACAAGTGAAACCAAAAGACTGAATGATATGTTAGCCAAAGAAATACATTTCTGACTGTGGGATTTCAAGCATGATGGTTTTGGAAGGGAGGGCTGGGGTGGACATTTGAGAGCATGGAAAATGGTATATGGCTGCTTCTTCCTGCAATCCACTCTCTCTGCACATTTAAAAGCACAAGAAGGGAAAAGAGGGCAAAACTCTTTGGTAAAAAGCTAGGTGATTAAATACAATCATTACCAAACAGTATTTTCAGAGAGCACTGACATGTATGTTGTTAATGGCTAAAATGAGGCTTTATCTGCACTATACTTATATAGTCGAGAGTGGGTAATAATGAATACACTTACAACCCAACACCATTTCCTCATCCCCACTCCAGAAACAAGTAAGAGCCACTAGCCACCATTAAACTTGAACCCTTAGGAAAACTAGAAAAATCACTTTGGATTTTTTTTGTTTTTTGTTTTTTTGCACTAGCTGGAACCAGTACTATCTCTGAGTCTTGCTATGGCAATTAAATCACTCTGGAGAACCAGCGTGGTACAGTACAAAATAACACAGAACTGGGAGTTGGGTTCAAAACCTTAGCTTGGCCACTAATTATCTTACTTTGCTGAACCTCAGTTCTCCCATCTGCAAAATGGAAGTTGAGCCAGATGACCTGACATGTATGTTGTTCCAATCGAAGATCCTATTAGCCTTGTCACCTAAGGCAGGGAAGCAGTTCCTTTAGTTCATTTTATTTCATTAATCCATAAATATTTATTCTGCCAGGTGACTTAAGTCACTCAGTAGGAGTCCCTCAGGAGGAAAACTTGTTTCTTGTTATCACATAGCTCATAGTTTGGGTGGGGGATGAGACAGCTAATTAAATGAGTAATACTAACAAACTATGGTATTACAACAAACTTCAGGATTCTAAAGATCACAAAGAAGGCCAACTTAGCTGAGCAGAGGGAGTCATGGAAAACTTCTCAATGCAGTGGTATTTCAGCTCTATAGAAGTAGAATTTATTCAGACCCAGTTGAGTATATGACAGAGTGGGAAGGGAAGAATAGGCAGAGGGTATATCATGTGTAAAGAACTAGAAGTAAGGGAAAGCCTGGTATAAATAAACATCTGGAAGGAGTTCAGCATGGCTGGAGCACAGAGATGAAACAGGAGTAGCTAAGCAAGGCCCAGACCAGGCAGGACCCATAAGGCATATAGAGGAATTTGAACTTTATCCTAAGAGCAATGAGAAGCCATTCAATGGAGGTCAGCATAGCTGTAACATGATCAGATTTGCAGTTTATCAAGCTCCCTCTGACTACACTGTGAAGAACAGACCGCAATTTGGAGAGTGAAGTGAAATGAAAAGAGTGAGAGACAGTACACACACACATACAGAGAGAGAGAGAGAGAGAGAGAGAGAGCAGGTATTCTTTACTTATTCTAAGACTGAATGTCCTTAAGCATGGAAGTTGCCAGGCTTGGATTAAATGGAACTCTGGGAAGCTAAGGATTGTGTTTTACCTTTTATACATGACAAAATTTGACAGAAAGTTAAGTACTTGCTATCAACTATGTCAGAAACAGGAATATGTCCACAGAAAGAAACAGAGAGTGGCAAGATCACTTGCCTTTCACTGTGATTATCAGGAGCATCAATCCTTCCAAAGCATGAATGGGCAGAAGAAAGGAAATTTAAGTTTTCATTTGACTGGGTGTAGGGGCTAGGATTCAGAAAGCCTGAATGGAAGTCCTAGAATTGCTGCTAAGTAGCTGCATGATATGGGCAAATCACAAGCCTCCACTATCTCAAAAATTGAGATAGTTGAAATAGGAGTAGCTAAGCAAGGCCCAGACCAGGCAGGACCCATAACTTCCTGAACTTGTAAAGTGTAAAGATGATTCCACCGAGAATTGGACTGTCCATCTCTATTTGTGCATATGTCTCACTTTGTGTCTTTTATTCTTTTTTCCTTTGTGCAGTAAAGTCAGCAGTTTTAAAATTTGTAATGCCATCTATTTATTTATTTTAATTGATGCATTATAGCTAAAATACAATTTGAATACATTATGGTATATTCATTCATTCACCCAGTATAATTCTGTTAACTTTATTGCCCAGGTCTTTCCCTTTCCCTCTCTTCCTCCCTCTGCCTTGGTTCCTAAGAACAATAAAGTACAGTAAGGGGATGAATCAGGGAGAAAGGGAGGGAATGGGCTAGTAGTGGGGATTCAAATAAAGAAAACTGTGTTGTATGCATTTACAAATATGTCAAAATGAACCCCATTATTATGTAAAACTATAATACACTAATAAAATAAAGCAAATTTATAATGCCAAAGAACATCTTAAGAATATGGTTTTATATTGTAATTTTGCAACTCCTCCTCTGTCTTCTTGAGTTGTCTGTTTCTATGCATTTCTGTGTCATTCCTTCTCTTCTTCACCCTCACAATATAAGTTAAAGCTTTTAATGTTCAAGTTTCCTATATGTATTTAACTGTTTTCATTTTCTCTTTTTCCTTTTATTTCTCTCTCCCTCTTTTCTATCAGTTTGTTCCCTCCTCCCCTTCTCACCCCCACATCTTAGATTTCTCCTATTTCGTTGATCTGTTGTGACCCCTACAGGCATTTCTTAGTTCTACCACTGGTGCAATGGACAGAAGACAAAACACAAAATGGACTACAGGCATGCTTACTTAGTAGGCCATAATTCTATCTGAAGCCATCTCACATAACCCATGAAACATTTATTTGCTGGCGCCCCTCCTTGTTTCTTCCTCTGACAGACACAATACTGGTGTATTCTAGTGACATCCCATTCTAGAATGTACTCTGTAGGGGTCCAGCTTCCAAATTACCCTCCATTAAATCTGACAAGTATTTATTGAGCACCTACTGTGTGCTTAGCATTCAGCAAGATTCTCCAGGGACTGCTGGGGTCTCTGAACAATACAGCCTAATCCTGCCACAGCAGGAACTGAACATTATTGCACTGGCTTTGTTTGGAAGGCTAGGCTGGGCTGAGGTTACAGCATGCAGACTTCATTCAAGTCCTTTGGTTTGGAAATGAGGCTGGATTTTCAACAAAAGTGGGGAGTTGAAATGAGCCTGAGGCTTTAATTCAGTGCATATTTTCATTTGAGCTTTGTGGTTACTTTGTGTGCATCAGAAGGGTACAAATTCATTGCTTACCTTCTGCAGAAGGTTCCTCTTCAGAGAGTCTCAGCATTTCTAAGATGTCATTAAAGCCATAATCTGTCACTTTTAGTACAAACTGCCCATCTACCACACAGTTCTAAGACTTTAGCCTCCCATGAACAAACTCACTGTGGTGTAAGTGCTTCATGCCCTGCAAATGATACAACAGAATTTATTTAGCAACTTATTTAACTATTTTGTGCTTTTAGAGCCACTTTCTGATATTGTTAATGGCATGAGCTATTATGATCCAGAATTCAGCTTGTTCTCTTATATGCAGGCAAAACAAACCCTGACAAGGTGTTTAGGACCCTTCTAGCTCTAAAATGGTAGGCTTTGATGAAGAATTATATTACGTGTATATGGAGAATTATGTGTTACTTGGAGATTTATTGACATTTCAGAAACAGGATGGAAACATAATTGCCAAGAATTTGGTGATTGTGATTTTCTCCAACAGGTCTAATGTAAGTCTCATCCATTATTGGCAACAGTGAAAACTGGTACAGCTTTTTGGGTGGACAATTTAGCAATAGCTATAAAATTTTAAACATACAAACCCTTTACTCCACAGTTTCTACTTCTCCTCCAGAGAAATGGTTGCATATATGCACAAAGGGACAGAGAGAAGAATGTTCATTCCACATTTGTTTTTATAATAGTATATAATTAGAAATACACTAAATATCAATAAGGGATGGGCTACATTTATGTTACATCCTTGAATATTCTGCATTGCTTAAAACTGGCTGGGGTTGTGGCTCAGTGGTAGAGTGCTTTCCTAGCATGTGTGAGGCACTGGGTTCGATCCTCAGCACCACATATAAATAAGTAAAATAAAGGTCCATTAATAACTAAAAGAATATTTAAAAATAATTAAAATGAATAAGATAGATCTGTATGTACTGACAGAACTCTACACCAAGGTGTAAGTGAAAAATAGTAATTTGCAGAAGTAAGTGGTAGCATACATATTTTAAAAAACAAACAAAAATATCATCTGCAATGTATGTAAATATATATAAAATGAATTACAAGTCCATTCACCAAATTGTTAGCAATAGCTAAATTTGGTGGGGGATATGAAGAAAAATGGTTGGGTAAATGTCAGTATTTTCTCATATATACTTATGCCATTTGATTTTGTGTTAATTTAATGTCAATTTGCATTAAAAATAGACAATAAAAAAGAAAATGAAAGCTGAATATCACTGATCTCTGTTCTTGCCTGGCAGCCTTTACATGACATTCAAATGGGATCTATCAGGACTCTATCATATGGGTTTAACCATTCTGCATATAAATATATCCATATTCTACTTCATTCATTTCAGAACCATTTATGCTGAGAGTACTTTTAAGTATCTGGATCTGTTTTTCAGCCTAACATCCCTTTGTATTTGAATGTTTCACATCTTGTGTTCTAAAAAAGTCTGCACTTTCCAGTACTTCCAAGTAGAGTCTACAATCAAAAGATATCCCTCAGGTTTCCTAAAGCTTGGGTTTCATTCATCACTGGCCTGAGAACACTGTCATTTAAAGGCCTCTCCCTTAAGCCACTTGGTTTTGCTTATAGAGTGAGTAAAAAGAATACTAGAATAGGTATTAGGAGATTTATATTCTATTATCACTTCTGCCCTTTCATAGTTAACTGATAAATATTTATTTAGTACCTACTATGTGTCTCCGACACTACATAGTAAAGCGTAGCTCATTTAGTTTTTCTTAGCCTCTATAAAAGAAGAATAATCACCCTATCTTAAAGAGAATGGAAGTGAGGTAATGTCTTCCCCTTCCATGCCCCCTTGAAAATGTTTAGGCCATGATACAGAAATCAAGACTGTGATCAATATGCAGAAAGCTTGACAAGTAATTGATTATCCAAATCAACCCCACAAAATGCACATACACCCAATTTGCCTATCATTTCATTTAGTTCATGGATTCCAAAGAAGCCCATCTATGGAACCTTCCATGAACCTTCTTGGCTGTCAGCAGCCCTTGGAACTGAAAATGCAGGTGCTGGCTTATAGAATCAACAGTTTTTGGCTTTCTGGTAGCACTGAGTTCCCAGCCCATACCTATGGTAAGCAAAGGCTGAGTCACCTTTTGGAAGGTAAACACTAGAAGGTGACGCTAAGTAGCACCAAAGATTCTGGGAATGAGCACTTTCCCACATCCACAGAGAAAAGAGAAGTGGTATACATATAAATTATATATATATATATATATATATATATATATATATATATATATATAATTTATATATATATTTTTTTTTAACTTCCTATTTGTCATCAAGTATTCTTCTGCCATATATATAAAGAAATGGTATACATATAAATTATATATACATGTATAAATATATATATATTTATATATGTATATATAATTTATATATATAATATATACATGTATGATTTATATATAATTTATATGTATGCCATATATAAATTATATATATATAATTTATATGTATACCATTTTTTTATATATATGGCAGAAGAGTACTTGATGACAAATAAGAAGTTAAAAAAATAGTTGGTCCTCAAATTAAGGAGTGGGGCAGGTAAATACCGGCTGTATCAGTACCTTGTAACAAATATAAACAAGAGGACTGTGAAAAGACAGGAAGGAAGGTGAAAGAGTGGAATGATCACAGTGATCTGAGGAAAATAAAACAGCTCAAAACTTTTAATCTATAAGGGAAATCCAAGATTTCATCAGTCTTTTAATTAACCTTGATGAGATCCAGCAGGAGTTTCACAACCTCATTTGTCAGTATGTCTTCTAAGCTCCTTTGGGAACAGAATTCACTAATAATGGCAAACATTCCCAAATCATGGAAGAAGCCCAATAAAGGGTTAATGTTCTCATGATGCAGAAACAGGAGGGAAAGAGAAGAGTCACAGTTGTCTTGTCTCATTTGGGGAACAGAATTATGGGCACATAACATTCTCTTCATCATCCTGGTTGGTGGCGGTGGTAAGCAGAATTTTCACCCCATGAACTCTAACCCCTAGCCCTATTATGTGATTGTGTTATGCCATCTGGGCATAAGTAGATTAACAGAGTGAAACTAACCGAATCACAATGAGCCCTTAAAAGGAGAAGAAGGGCTGGGGTTGTGGCTCAGTGGTAGAGCACCTGCCTTGTACATGTTAGGCCCTGGGTTCAAACCTCAGCACCACATAAAAATAAATAAATAAAGATATTGTGTCCATCCACAACTAAAAAAAAAAGAAAGAAAGATATTTTAAAAAGGAAAAGAGAAAGACCAAAGGAGCCAGAGGGATTCAACCTATTGGCACTCAGTCTGCCAATATTGACTTTAAGATGGAGAAAGGAGGCTATGAGCAAAGGAATTTGTACAGCCTCTACAAGATGGGAACAGGACTCGGCTGATGGCCAGTGAGAAAATGGGGACCTCAGTTCCAAAACTCTATTGAACTAAATTCTGCTGACAAGCTAACAAGCCTGGAGATGGGTTTTCCCTTCAAGCATCTAGATAAGAACCCAGTGTAATTGACCCCTCAACATCAAACTTGTAAGATGCTGAGCAGAACACCCAGCTGTGTCTGGCTACACTTCTGATCTACACAACTATGAGATAATAAATTGATGTTTTAAGCCACTAAGTTTGTGTTAATTTGTTACAGCAGCAATAGAAAAATGAATGCAATAGACAAAGAGGGAAATTTCAGGCAGGAATTTCATTCAGCATACTTACTAGTAAATGCTGGAGCTGGGCCTCTCATCATGATTCCTCTGGGACTCTCTGAAATGGAGCTCGTGGATCCGAGAAAACTAAAGAGAGATAGTGCAGTAAAAAGTATAATAAGTTGTCTTTCTATGAATACTTATCTACTCAGCACCTATTAAAATAATTTCCCTACATAAACATAAGTTTAGACCTTACAAAATTGTATCAGAAAAAAATCCCTCTAGAATTCTGTCTACATTTTCCCTTCATATTCATTTTTCCCCACTAATATAAGACACATTTAGTGTGTGCTCACCATGTTGAAGACACAGAATGACATGCCAGACAAACAGAAATAAACAAAATGCAATCACTATCCTGAAAAAGCTGGCATTCAATGAGAGGTGACAGACAAATTATCTGACAATTGTATTTTACCATGAAATGTGTTCTGAAAGAAGAGGACATAGGATGCTGAGAGAGTTCAGATGTTCAATATCTAATTCAGCCTTGGGGGTCAGAGAAAGCTTCCCTGAGGAGGTAGAATCTTGACTAGACTGAAGGACAAGAAAAAAATTGACCATGTGAGAGTCACTTGATGGAGGGGTTAAGAGTGACAGCATGTTGTGTTGAAGAAACTGCAACAGGCCTAGCATGCCCACAAGAATGTGCAGAGGAGGTACCATGAAATAACTAGCTTCAGAAATGGATCTGAGCCACATCCCTTGGGACTTTGAAAACCATGCTATAATTTTTTTATATATTTATATATTGAAATTTATATTATAGGAACTCAGTGAGTGATTGTCATCTATTATTATTTCTATCAAAAGGCATATGAGAAAGAGAAAAATAAACTCCATAATCATATTCAGATTTCTACTTGGATTTGTGGGTAGTTGGTGGTGCTATACATTAATACAAGGGATTCCAAGGTAGTGTAGTAGTGGATGTTTGGTGCACCACCCACATCCCTTTTACTGTGCATTCCCCAGCTACTATGAGTTTTGGTTGATAACTCAGTTATCCCACTCTCAGAAAAAAAAAAAACAGGGCCCAAACCAAAGGTAAGTCACTTTACCTTGGAGGTTAAGCCCACCCATAGATCTCAGGCAATGATTGGTTGTGGATAGTCCAAATGTCTAGTTATCTGGTTTCAAGGTGGGACTCATGATATAACGTGTGCTCCAGCATTTTCCCATGAGATCATACTGTCTGTAGTCTCCAGCTGAGATCAAATACTTACTTAGCTTTTACCTCTACCATATCCTGCTTTCCTCACTCTTTTCCTTTGAGAGCATTCTCTCAATAAGTAATCTGAACAAGAGTTTCCATCTTAAGCTCAGCTTTTACGTAATCCAACCTAAGACAGATAGAAAAGCAAATTTCATGGCGTGGAACGCTATAGATTCAGTTTGGGACATTGAAAATGAGGTATCTGTCATAGCCTGTGAAATTGCTGATAATAAATAAACATAGACAAATTTAAAAAAAAGAAAATGAGGTACCTGTAAAATATCAAGATGGATCTATTTGAAACAGTTGTATATTCAGGGTTTGGAACTCAAGAAAGAGGTCTGATCTAGATAAACAGACTTAGGAATTGTGAGAATATAAATGATATGTTAAATCAATGGGGATGAATGAAGTTATGCAAGGAAAGCATTTAGGAAAAAATAGAAAAGAAAAATGTATCAATATTTAAATGATAGAAAATTGAAAAGCAGCCTACATAAAAACCAAGAAGGGAGGCCAAAGAAGTGGAGAAAAGCCTATTTACAGCAACATCATTAACACTACAGGACAACTTTCAGTAAAGTGAGAAAAATGCCAGAAAGAATTTCAGAAAAGTGTGATGAATACCAGAGAGGTCAGGTAATTTGAAGAAATGTATTTAGTGAATTGGATCATTGGGAAATTATTAATTGCTGAAACTCACTATGCAAACATGTTTACACACACACACACACACACACTTCATACATGTATTGGCTCTCTGTATCCATGGGTTCTGCATCTGCATATTCAGTCAAGCACAGATCAAAAATGTTTTAAAAATCTTTTTCTTGCAATTATAACCTAAATAATAAAGTATAACTACTATTTACATAGTATTTTTAATATCTTATTTTTTAGTTATAGGTGAACACAATATCTTCATCTTATTTTTATGTGGTGCTGAGGATTGAACCCAGTGCCTCACACATGCTAGGCGAGTGCTCTACCTCTGAGTCACAAGCCCAGTCCACATAGTATTTACATTGTATTAGGTATTATAAATAGTTTAGAGATAATATAATATATGTGGGAAGATGTGCATAGGTTGTATGAAAGATATCCCACTTTATGTAAGGAATTTGAACATCCATGGATTTTGTTACCTGAGGGGGTGTCCTGGAATCACTCCCCCATAGACACTGAGAGACAACTGTGTGTGTATGTGTGTGTGTATATATGTGTGTATACCATCATGCAAGTGTGCATGTACATACACACACACACGGGCTTAGAATAGTAGTAGTGTGAGTAAACAGAAAAAAGCATATATATTTTAGAGTTCTAAATCACATTACCTATTGGTGTGGGGAGTAAAGGAAAGAATTAAATCAAATATTATTCTATTTTGAGCACTGAGAGGATAGTGGGTCATTTATTGAGATGGTGTGCACCTGGGGACTTAAAACATGGGCTTGTTTTTTCCAACAAGATGACCCAAGTCAAGGTTAAATTACCCCTGGTGGAAATGGCAGCTAAAGATCAACAAAACTGCTTACTAAACACAAAAGTCTGACACCTATGACAATTCTCTTAGTCTACTATAACCTAAATTAATTAGGCAGACATGGAAACTCAGCCTACAGGTTGAAAATTAGTCACCTTCTTCTGACTTCATTCTCTTTTGAACCAAGCATACAAAACTACTGGGTTCTGGACCTCCATCAGAAGAAAGATTACAAAGTGGTTATGTCAGAGACTGCTAGCTACTCAGAGCACATCTGCTTCCCTTTCTTGTTGGGCAAAGATAATCCACATTTACCAGCCTCTCTTGGAGCTGAGGATAGCCATATGACTGAATTCTAAGCAATGGAATGTAAGAGGAGGTAATATGTGATATTTCTAGGCTAAGGCTTTTAAGCAGCAATTACATTCCCTTCAACTTCTATGGCTAAATGCAGATTTCGACGAGGCCCTAAGATGGTCATAGACTCAGTTCCTGAATCACCATATTGGAGGAGAGTCTCCTGCCAACCAAGAGCACCATTGTGTTATTATTTGAGTAAGAATTAAGCTTCTATTGTGTTTAAGACATTAAGGAGGTGGAAGTATAACTTAGCGGTAGAGCATGTGCTTAGCATTCACAAAAAGCCCTGGGTTAGATACACTGCACCACAAAAAAAAATATTTGGGGAGTATGTTACAGCATCTATCATTACACCATCAGCCCAAATTTGGAAAATTTCAGGCCTAGGTCCTTGCAAGATCTTTACAATCATCTTTCCTCAGCTATAACCATTAGAGAAAATCCTTCATAGGAAATAGGTAGATACTTCTATGCAAATATATCCCTACTAAGACTCTGGACAACCCTAGGATGCAGAAAATATTTGGAACACTTATTTGAGCAAGATAACCATTTATTGGGTAGACATGTAATTTACCACTTCCATAATACGTACCATCAATGTGGCCACCATCAATGTTCAAAAAATAAAATCCTGTCTCCCAGGATTTTTGTTAGCCTCAAAATTGACATAAAACCTTTAAGCATACAAGCGTTGACACCTGCTCCTGATTCAAACATGGACCTAGATTATCTTTAAGATTCCTTCGCCCCATTAAAAATGTTCCTGGAAGTCGGGCATGGTGGCACACACCTGTAATCCCAGTAGCTTAAGAGGCTGAGGCAGGAGGATCACAAGTTTGAGGCCAACCTCAGAAATTTAGCAAGGCTATAAGCAACTTAGCAAGACCCTGTCTCAAAATGAAAACATGTAAAGTACTGGGGATGTAGTTCAGTGGTAAAGTGACTGTTTTAGTCAGCTTTTTTCACTGCTGTGACTAAAGGACCTAAACAGAACAAGTGTAGATAAGGAAAAGTTTATTTGGAGGCTTACAGTTTCAGAGGTCTCAATCCATAGACAGCCCTACTCCATTCCTCAGGGCTCAAGGTGAGGCTGAACA